GGAGGCCTCAGTCCTGGGGGGCGATGTGGGGAGCCGGGCGAGGAGGCCTCAGTCCTGGGGGGTGATGTGGGGAGCCGGGCGAGGAGGCCTCAGTCGTGGGGGGAGATGGGAGCCGGGCGAGGAGGCCTCAGTCCTGGGGGGCGATGTGGGGAGCCGGGCGAGGAGGCCAGGTTCTGTGACTGCTGTTCACCTTACCCTCTCTCCTCCTGCTCCTTCTCTGTGGCACAGCCCTGCCTCAGCCTTCTCACCTTGGCAGAAGAAAATAAAATTTTTCAGGTTTAAACTTTTACTTGAAAGACAGACCCAGAGGTCAAGGTTGACTCCTCGGGGAGGTGATAAGGTGGACTCTGGGCCCTTATCTGGTGCTGACGCAGGTGCCTCTCCCCCACGGGCGTCTCCCCACTCACTGACAAGTGAGCCATTGTCCCCTCCACCCCATGGCGGCGGTCCCCTGCGCAAAGCCAGCTCTGCATCTCTGCCAAGTCGGATGCGGCAGCTTGGGGCCACGGCCTGACTCTTCAGGTGGGACCTTGAGCACCACTGATGTCCAAGGCCTGTCCAGGTGGCCCTGTGAGGGTCACAGACAAGCTCTCCTTTCCCTGCAGAAAAGGACCTTCTGTTTCTGTGGCCTGTGGAACAGGCAGAAGGCTCACAGGCTAGGAACTGCGTAACAACTTTTGAAATGTTGAAGAATGAACCAATACTTGAGCGTGACCTCCTTTCTGGAGCCTCTTCTGACTTGCGCCTTCAAATGAGTCTCCATACCTTCTCTGCCCCTCCAGCTCTGGGCCCGGGGAAGCTCTCGGGTGGGCTTAGCTGGGGGAGAACGCTTCTAGAAGTTCCTGTAGTTCTGCTCCTTGTCGACTTTAAGGGTGCTTTTCTGCCTCCTCCTCTCCCCTTCTGTATCATGAGGGATTTGGCTGCGTTTTCCGTGAATGTTTCTCAAGCCTAGGATCTCACTTTTCAGGACACCATTCCGCCGCCTGATTTGGGAAAACATGCCCCAGGTTTTGTCAGTGGCACAGGCTTGCCTTACGAGGCATAGGTTGGAGACTTGGTTTTCGACCTTTTAAATAAAGATTAGTTGGTGGTGGTGTTTTCACTTAAGTCGGGCTTCCTTCCACAGAATCCCTCCCTCCTACCGGCCCCACCTCTGCGCGCTGAGCAGCGGCACCAGTGAGGTCCAGTCCTTGTCCAGCTGCTCTGGGGATGTATCTCCAGGTGACTGGGTGCCTAGAGGTCAACCTTGGTGGTAGTGGTATAGATTCTCCTACAAATCTTCCTGTCCCTTGATTTTTTTTTTTTTTTTCCTAAAAGGGAGTTCGGTGAATATCAAGGTTTCTTTCCAAGTACTTATAAGTCATGGTCAAGACCTATTTGTGCAGCATGACTGTGAGCCATAATACAACATTGTTTTCTCTTGTGTAATGGTGGGTAATAAAAATACCTGTTTCTCTCAGCTCCTCAGACACCTCCCCAGGAAACTCGATGGCTTAATAACAAGTGTGTGAAACCCCAAAGACAGCCCTACCCTGGAAGCTCAGGGCTGGTGCTCACCCCAGGACTTCTGAGTCAGATGAAAAGACTGAGAGGCTAAATGGTCTTTCTCGGGCACGTGGATTACCCAGCATATCCTTCAGGTTTCCGACATCACTGAGGGGCGTGGAGCACTGTTTCTGGCTCTCAGCCACCCTCCCCCTGTCAGAATCTGGATGCTCAGGGCCCCGTGGTTGAGCAGAGAAAGGGGGAGGAAAGGAAGAGGGAGCAGACAGGCGTTTTAAAATAACCTTTATCGTAGGGCTCCTAAACCATATGCCCTCCCTGCCAGCCGAGGCACTGACAGTGTGGCTAGCAGTCCTGTGTCCTCAATTTTTGCAGTTGCTAGTGTTGTGAAAGTCTTGAGTGCTGCCGTTCTGCATTTCTGTTCTCTGATAGCAGCTTCCTGAGGCAGTTACTAACCTTGGAGCAATCATGCTGTTTATCAGCCAGCTCTGGTCATTCCAGACACTGTTCTAAGTGCCAAATAAGCGTTATCTGATTTAATCCTCCAACTTCCCGTCAGAGGATAGCGATCCCTGTGTTAGAGTTGGAGAGGTGAGGCTCAGAGAGCAGGAAGACCTTTGTGTGTGCTAGCCACGGAGCTCGTGCCTGTTCCTGGAGAGGATAGGTGGGCACTGGAGATCGGACGTGCCAGGAGCAGTGTGGGAAGTGAGAGGGTGAGGCCGAGGAAGAGCAAATAGGAGCCAGTGGCAGCAGTCCAGGCAAGAGTCAGAGAGGACAATGGTGGTGGGGCTGGGGGTGACAGTCGGCAGATGTGAAGCCACACGATGAGGCAGGATGGGGTTTGGATGGCGCTGGGTTTCCTAGGACTGCGAGGATGCTTGACCAGGAAGAGCTTCACAGTCTAAGCACTGGGATTTCAACATGCACGCTCGCACACTCACGCGAGCTTGCTCGCACACTCATGAGTTCACACACACTTACGTGCTCACATGCTTGCACACACAGACTAGACATACTCCCTGTTCTTGGCTCAGAGAACCCAGGCCCCAGAGCACTGGAGAAGCCCCGGGAGAGTTTGCATTTCACATGGGGTCCACAGCTTTACCTCGCCCCTCTGGCCCCCGCTGCTGTGTCCGTCCCTGTAGAAGCGTGTCCAGAATGTGGCCTGCTCTGTGTTGCAGGACTTCGTATTCTACGCCCCTCGTCTGCGGATCAACAAGCGGATCCTGCAGCTGTGTATGGGGAACCATGAGCTGTACATGCGTCGTCGCAAGCCCGACACCATTGAGGTGCAGCAGATGAAGGCCCAGGCCCGCGAGGAGAAGCACCAGAAACAGCTGGAGCGGTGAGTGGGGCCAGCCTGCTGCCCACAGGGGCCGGGCTGCCTGTCACTGTCCTGGAAAGAGTCTGGCAGGCCGTTGTCTGGTAAGCAGGTTTGGGTATCCAGCAGCTGCGGGCCTTTCGAAGTTACTGCGTGCAGCTTATGAGCCACAGTTTGAGGGTGGGCCTGAGGATGGGCTCTCGGGTGTGAGATGAGCAGGTCCGCCATCTTTCTGTGGAAGTTCAAGTGGCAGAGCTTAGGGCGGGGAGAGCTGAGCTGCAGCTGATTAGCCATCCAGAGGATGGACATAGGGTAGGCTCAAGGCTTGGACGAGGCCTCAGGCCCCAGACGTAGGGTCCCTCCAGCTTGCTTGGGCCTAGTGATGAGCCAGAGTTGGGCGGGAACAGACGTGGGGGACGCCCTGCCAGGGCCTGAGTGCCACCCTGGACCTCAGGTATGACGATGGAAGCACGTCGGCATTAACTTGGCTGCCAAAGTCTAAGCCTTCCGTGCCTCTTCTTCCTCCTCTCTCTGATAGGCAACAGTTGGAAACTGAGAAGAAGAGGAGAGAAACTGTTGAGAGGGAGAAAGAGCAGATGATGCGGGAGAAGGAAGAACTGATGCTGAGGCTGCAGGACTATGAGCAGAAAACCAAGAAGGCCGAGAAAGGTGAGGGCCGAACGCTTGGCTGGGGCTGCTGAGAGAGGTGAGGGCTGTGCTCGGCTGGACCTTTGTTCTGGGTAGGGCTTTAACGTGTGGTTATAGATTTCCTCGGAAAGCGCCAGACGGACAGAGAGACCGTGTACACACGCACACACACACACATACCCTGTGTGTCTCAGCTTAAACAGCACCCAAAAAGGTAGAGTTGGGAACACGGGTTGATAGACGACCGGTCCTGTGGACATTAACAGGTATCGATCAAGGACGTCCTATGTGCTAGGTTCTGTGCGGATTGCTTTATGTTCATCATCTTTTTAAATTTCTCCACAGTCCTATGAGCTGAGTACTGACTGCAGTACCCCATTTTCCTGATGTGGGTGTTAAGGTTAGGAGCGTGGGTGTCAGCTCCCCCACCCTCCCCCACCATGGGCTCAACACTGAGGTGCCTTTGGAAACAAGGCCCGGAGCACGTTCAGTCATTCCAGCCTGGCTGGTTTGTGTCAACTCCAGCAAAGACCTGGCCCTGAGGGGCTCACAGTCTGCTGGGGGAGATGGATGGCTGTGTTCATCAGCAGGGCATTCCCACCTGCTAAGCTGAGCGCTGAGATAGTTTATTCTGAGGAGCTGGGTACAGGGAGGGGCTTGAATCACCGCCTGGCTGGTGAAAGCCACATTTTGCCAGCTTTGTACAGTGTTTTTTAAAAATGTCTTGAAGACGTGGTCACATAAACACAACAGGAGTGAGCCATAAAGCGCTTACTTCCGGTATTATTGGTAGAAGTCTTACCACCAAGGGAGATCCGTCCCCCTGGAAGTGGGGCTGGCTCTTGGTGGTTTCCTGGTTGATCCCCCGTGACCTCACTTAGCCACTCGGGCTGGGATTTCAGGCAAGGGCTCCAGGGTCCTTAAGCAGCTGAGTACTTAAGCATCTTTGGCCTGTGTCTTCTAGAACTTTCCGAGCAGATCCAGAGAGCCCTGCAGCTGGAGGAGGAGAGGAAGCGTGCCCAGGAGGAGGCAGAGCGCTTGGAGGCTGACCGTGTGGCCGCGCTGCGGGCCAAGGAGGAGCTGGAGAGACAGGCTGTGGATCAGATAAAGAGCCAGGAGCAGCTGGTAGGAATCGCCGAGTTTCAGTATGCTGAATTATGGAGAGGTTGCTGCTGGGATCAAAAAAGTGACACCTGCCTTCCCATGGTGGCTGTCTGGGATGTAAAGTGATCTGCGGGAGGGTATAGAGTGGCCGTGGTGGGGAGGGGGCCGGCCCTGACGTCCTTGCATCCCCAGGCCCACCCTGTTGTGGCTGGGGGTGGGGAGGCGGAAATAGCGGCTCGGTTAGCCCACAAAGGGACACTGTTGGCCAGCGAGTGGGGGACATCCAGGGGATGTGGCGTGTCACATGGCGGCCACTCACTTGAATGTGCACCCCGTGTGAACGCTCATTCATGAACGGACACCACTGAAGGGGTTCCAGAAATTCCTCGAACTCTGTTCCTTCGCCAGGCCACGGAGCTCGCTGAGTACACAGCCAAGATTGCCTTGTTGGAAGAGGCGCGGCGGCGCAAGGAGGACGAGGTGGAGGAATGGCAGCACCGGGTGAGCGGCCACAGGCAGCTGGCCAGGGCGGGGCCCCGTGGAGATGGGTGTGGCCAGTATAGGTCCGGCCAGGCTGGCACGTAGCACTTGCAGCTCCTGGGATGTTTCACAACACCCCATCGATACCAATTGTATAATTTCAGCAGAAATCCCCCAAGGAATGGGCTTGCCCTGCACATGAGGGAGTGTATCTGGTGGATTAGCAGAGGAACAAAGAACTGCTTCTTTCTTTCCTCCCACTTGGTCTGGCCACCCCAAACGGTGCAGCTGGGTGCAGACAGCACCCCCCCTCCCCCGCCCCCCGTCAAGAGCTAGTTTAAATCCGATTATGCCAGTGCACCCAGCAGTGGGCCATGGGGACTGAAACAAGACTTGCTGCCCCGCCTACCTGCTGACGTGTGCAGCATGGCACAGTGAAAGACCCACGACCCCGGGCTTCACAGACCGGGGCCAGAGTCCAGGCCTGGCTATGCATTAGCTGTGTGACCAGGGGCAAGTGGCCTCAGTTTCCTCCTTGTCAACGGGGAGTGAGAGGAACAGCCAACTTGCCAGGTTGCTCCAAGCATTAGAGATCACGTGCATGGCCCAGGGCCCACCTGGGGGTTGAGTGCCCCGTAGCTATAATGGTGAGAACCAGGGTCAGCTCCATGGCTCTCGTCCGTCAGTCTGATTCTACCTGCCCACTGGGAGGCACGTCCCCCAGAAGGTGGGGCTCGCCATAAGCGTTCCTGGGAGCAGAGTTTGGGGAAGCTCCTCCCCCCTCTCTACCCCACCCCCGCCTGGCCTTTCCTGCTCCCACATTGTGGGGTCCCCTTCTCCTGAGAACAGAGTCCCATTTGTCCAGAGGGGCCTTTCCCTTCCTATTCATCCCCACCCTCATTCTTGCCCCCCCAACCCCAATGACATACACAAGACTTCGGTTCTTAAAAAAACAACAAAGTCTTTGGAGAAAGTCCTTATTATACAGTATTTAGTGAATTAAGTGAAGAAAGCTGGCTATAAAGCAGATATGATATATCCTCCACGCCCCAGGGTGGGAAGGCAGCGGGCCTGTGTCTGCCTGCTGAGGATCAGCAGTGAGGGTATGAGGGGTAAGAATACGCTTATGCGGGACGCAGCAGGTCAGCAGGTACCTGCCCAAGGACGGGTGGTCAGGCGACGTGCCAAAGTGTCCAAGTGGCTTTCTCAAGTGGCTGCGCTGCGGGAGCATTTTTGTTCCTTTAGTCCCTTTTCCCCCAAAACGTATACAGTGAGCATATATGAAGATCATAGAACAAAGCTGTGGTGCTGGAAAGCGTGAAGCCTCTAGTATCACAGCTTCTCCCGGGGCTGTGGGATGGTGGATGACCTAGAACCCTGAGCCCCAGACCTGCAGAAGGCCCCTGCCAGGTGGTGGGGCAGCCCAGGGCACAGAATGCTTATGATGGCGGCAAGGGTCCAAAGGTGAAGCGGTGCCAGACGTTCTGACTCTCCTGTCTGGGTCTGGCCCGCAGGCCAAAGAGGCCCAGGACGACCTGGTGAAGACCAGGGAGGAGCTGCACCTGGTGATGACAGCGCCCCCGCCGCCCCCGCCCCCCGTGTATGAGCCGGTGAATTACCACGTCCAGGACAACCTGCAGGAGGAGGGCACCGAGTACACAGGCTACAGCGCCGAGCTCTCCAGTGAGGGCATCATGGACGACCGCAATGAGGAGAAGCGGATCACCGAGGCCGAGAAGAATGAGCGCGTGCAGCGGCAGCTGCTGGTGAGAGCGGGGGGAGGGGAGGAGGGGCGGGGCTATGGGGAGGAGGCGGGGCTGGCAGGAGGGCATGGGCGGGGCTACAGGGGGAAGAGGGGTGGTCGCGGGGACAGCAGAGGGCAGGGCTGTCAGTGAGAGCGTGGGGCGGGGCGGGGCTACTGGGAGAGCAGGTATGGCGCCACCTGGAGCGTTAGCACTGGTGAAAGGAAAGGTGGACATATGAGTAGCGAGGGTAACAGCTCCCAGGGGCAATCTCTTAAGTTAAAACCCATTGCTGTTCAGTCGATTCCGACTCATAGCGACCCCATAGGGCAGAGTAGAACTTCCCAATAGGGTTTCCAGGGAGGGGGCTGATGGACTCGAACCGCGGACCTTTTGGTTAGCAGCTGAGCTCTTAACCACTACTCCACCAAGGCTCCACTGCTAAGTTGGATGGGGACGATTTCAAGATAAATAGACGTAGATGGCGGCCACGCCTCCGCAGAAACACCTTTTCCCCTCTTGTCCAGCTGCCTTTGTGGCTCCTGGGGATGTCATTCTGTGCCTCGTCTAGCGCTCCCCTTGGACTTGTGCCCCAGGGGCAGGTGCTGCCGTGCCCCCTCCGCCCTCACTCCTCCTCTCAGGAGCAGCAGAGACACCACAGCACCTTAGGGCCCCTTTTCCCAAGGGGAGGGGATGGGGTGGCATCCCCTAGACAATCATGAGGTCACCTGTGATCTGTGTGGGAAGGACAGGTACCTGACTGAGTTTCCCTCACACTGCAGACTTTGACCAACGAGTTGTCCCAGGCCAGAGATGACAATAAGAGGACCCACAACGACATCATCCACAATGAGAACATGCGGCAAGGCCGCGACAAGTACAAGACGCTGCGGCAGATCCGGCAAGGCAACACCAAGCAGAGGATTGATGAATTTGAGGCCATGTAGACACTCCATGAGGAGGGCAGGACTGTGGGCAGGCAGGTTGGGTGTGATGGCTTCTGGGAGTCACTGTCAGACACCTGAAATAGGTATTTTTTTAGTATTCTAAATCTAGAAACCCTTCATCATCTTCAGTTTCTTTAAAAAGCGAGTAGTTGTTTCAATGGGAATACTCTGGGGCTGAGGACCAGTGGAAGCTTCCCTGCTTTATTATCCCAATTGTATCATAGTGCCAAACAGGCCTGATTTTTTTTTTTATTATTACTATGGGATCACCTCCTGTTTTGTGCTTGGAGCAAAACCGATTTGAATTAAGGAAAGATGCCTGTAAAGTCAGAATAGCAAACTTTGTGCTGGGCATGTGTGATACAAGATTCAGTATAATTAAAGAAAACCACGTGGTGGCTTATAATCCGTGCCATACTTTTTTTTTTCTGTATTTGAAATGAGCTTAATTGATTGATCTGTTCTCGATTTCTATGAAGAATCCATCTTTGTATATTTGTTTTTTGAGGAGTGAAAATTATTTTGAAAATTGAGTCTAAAACACAAACACACACGTATATTTCCTTCCTCCACTGCAGTCGGTCGACAGAAATCCTGCAGCGATCATTCAGAATGAACCATACAGGAGGACACTCCGGGATAAACTTCTGTGTTTTACTTAACAGTTAGAGGAACATGTTGTTGGACTTCTTTACCCCTAATGAACGATCAGCTGTAGAGTATAGTATTTATATATAAGCGATAACATGGGTTTGTAACATTAGTTTAAGAAGGGAAAGTTTTGTTCTGTATATTTTGTTACCTTTTACAGAATAATAAAAGAATTCCATGTGAAAAGCCACGGAATTCGTCACTGCATCTGACGTGGCGGGTCACCGTCAGGAAGCTGACTCCCTGCTATCCTGCCTTCTGTAAAAATGATTTTTTTTTTACTCGTAGTGCACCTCATGCATGTAACTGAGTGTGCATTCCTTGATTTTCTAACAAAGCTTCTTGTTTGAAAAATGCACGCTGTTTTGATAATTCTGACTCCAGCCTTGAAGGGCCCCTGTAAACCTGTGTATCATCCCTGTGTTCCCACACACCCTCATTCTGACCTCTTTCCATTTGCTTCCCCATCATGGAAAAGCCACTGAAGTGTCAGCTTCCACGTCTGTTGGTTCTCCTGGCTTGTCTTCCTTTTCATGGGCTGCTTTGTCCTTTTCAGTTACTATATCACGTGCAGCTGCATTCCACGCCACAGCCACGTGAAATAAAAGATCTGCAAGGCCATGTGCGGAGGCTCATGTTTACTTACATGCGCTGGGGCAGGGGGGTCTCGGGGACTCCACGGGGTTCTCTGCGGTCCCGTCAGTTGTTTGGTGAGGGGTCACCGCACAGCACTCAAGCAGACCATTACAGTGTACCAACGCCAAGAGCTGGGTCTTCCCTCGTGCCTGGTGGGGTGATTTTGGCTGGCTATACCACCCCCGTGAAACTTGTCCACAGTAGCATAGGAGAGTGGTGTACATGTTTGCACTGGGCTGGTAACCAAAAGGCTGGCGGTTCAAACCCACCCAGCAGCACTGTGGAAGAAAGGCCTGGTGATCTGCTTTCAGATTACAGCCGAGAAAACAGTTCTACTGTGTAACCCGTGGAGTCATGAGTCGGAATCGACTTGACGGCAGGAGGGATTGAATGGTCATTGCGTTCGTTTGTTTCTCTTTGGAATGTGCGTAGCAGGGCCGCCAGCTAATTAATACCCATAACATTATTTCATAAGCACTGGGAGACACAGGTTACCAGTGAACGTTTATTGAAATCTGGCCATTTCCATTGCTCTCAAAGAACAGATCACCAACCTGAGACCTACTAATACAATAGCAACTGTTGCTGTTTTTAATGTAAATATACGGAATGAGCAATCTCAAAATGTGTTAGCTACATGGCACGTGGCTGTTGGGAGTTTTTCACACTCCAGCCGTCTGTGAAAGCAGAAAGGCAGACGGCCACTTTCTAGCTGTGACTTCACTGCCCAGTTCCTGGGAGAACCTTCCCAGGTGTGCAGTCCTTAGAAACACCCATCAAACATGGGGACAGACTGGGTCCTTGCAGCCTCTGCTTCAGTGTAGGATGAGTGTCACGTCCGTCCACAAATTGGGGTTGGAAAGCACTTTCTGCCATTGGAGCGATGGGGAGCATGAGTCAGTGCCGCCAGCTGCCTCTTCCTCTGTGACATGAGTGAAATAACAGATTAGTAACTAGGGATTACCATCCCTTTTTTCAGCTTTTTAAAAATCAGGGCCTGTTGGAAAGTATTTCTTCACCTCGACTTAAGAGACCATACTAAAATACCAACCACTGGAGAGTAACAGACCCCTCAACAAAACTAGTGTTCAGAAAGGGCTGCGCTCAGCTGGTCCTCCTTGGGTGTTGGAAGTCCTTACAGCCTAAAGCGCCATTTTCCTTACTGTGGTTTGAAGTGAAGAGGGATTCTGATTTGGTGGGCTGGTTCTTCATGAAAGGCAGTTGACAGCTTAATAAATTACCTGGATTAGGGGCAGGAGGGGAGTAATCCAAGACTGGGGACCGTATTTGTTCATGGAAAGGAGGTCCTTAGGGGCAGGGTGTGTTTTGGGCAAATTGTGACTTCGTAAGAGTCTCATTCATCCTCAGTGGCTCCCAATTGGAGGTGTCTATGGTGGTCACAGTGTTTGGGGACCCTGCCAGTCCCAAGCAGGCAGGGGCTGGGCACACACAGGCCCTCCACAACTAAGGACTGCCCCACACAAAATGCTGGCAGCACCCCTGAACAGCACCACCATTTTGTCCCACTCCTGATGAAATGCTTTATGAATTGCCATTTGTTTGGGTTAAGAAGATATTTTTCTTTAAGACAATAATCCTTTTATGATTGATGTCAGAAACAAAAGCAGATACTGTACCTAGTCCACTTTGAGGTCTGTAATTTTTGTTTCCAGACCCAAATCTGATTTAAATTGTTGGAATACTTTGCTTTATTATCTCGGCAGTGAGTAAGAATTAGACTTAGTAATTTCCACTTGAGGTGGGCTAGGCCATCTTGAAGCTAGCTAAATCCTTTGCCATTGTGGAAGCCTTTCGTTCTTTTAATATTATTAATGTAAGACCATCATTAGGATAAGCGATGTTTTGGGGGCCCAAATAAATATTTCCCATGGACTTACTTGAACCAAGCCTGGCTCTGCCCAACAAGCGGTCGCTCATACCAAAGATGGCCTGGTCCCAAACAGTTAATTCCAAGCTGGATTGCTTCAGCTGAGAGGTGGTCACATTGTTGAAGACAAAGGAGTGCTTCCATTGAGGGCAGGCTTGCTTCTTCAGGACTGGCGACTTCAGTCTTAATTTTTGTTGGTCTGGCAGAGTGAGACAACTACACAAGGGAAATACATGCAAACCCTACTGGGACACTTGGAGCCGGGCAGACTGTAGGTGCTAAGAACACCGCTAAATCCACTCCAGAACGAAAAACTATATAAACAGTGGACTAGGATGGAATCTCAAAGACTACGTAACCTAGCTAGGATGTTCCAAATTTCTCTCAGCTGAATTCCGTGCCTGGCACTAGGGGTAAGGTGGAATTCTGAGGCCCTGTGGCCCTTGTTTTAATCTCTTACCCCGGGGGATGCTCCCCAGCCTCCCACCATGCAATGACACAGCTTATGAGATCTGCTGTAGCCACCAGAACTTGGTGTACGTGCATTATCTCCCCATAACCCTGCTCTCCTCAAGAGAATTCAGAAAGGTAAAGTAACTTGCCCAAGGCCATACAGATAAAGGCAGTTGAGGACAAGGACTCGTAGGCCATGTTCCTCCATTATGGCACTGACTTGGGGGGCGGGGGTCAAATCCACCATAGTAATTACTGGTGTTCACTTCACTTTTGGAGAGACCAGCACACCTGTTCTGGGTCAGAATGACTCGAGGGTCACCCATGTTACTGTTGATCCAAGAGCAGATGTTAAGCTAAAGAAATAGTTAATAAACACACTACGTTTTTCATGCCTGATTAAAAACTGATGGACTGATGTCAGAAGGCCTGGTGAGATTTGTTTCAGGTCAAAATGTAGTGTTCCAGATGTAGCCTCAGCGTGTCCACATCCCTTGGATTCTTGGAAATCAGGGTCTTTAACATGGGTTATGTTGGGTTGTCATAGGCAAGCTAAAATAAGACAAGTTTCAAATGGCCATCTTATGCTTTTTAGTGTTCCCTAAAGGTTCCAGCTCCACACTATCAGTACATTATCATCCTGGGTAGTGCAAACGGTTAGTTAACATCTTAACTGCTAACTGAAAAGTTAGAGGTTTGAACCTACCTGGAGGCACCTTGGAAGAAATGCCTGGCTATCTACTTCCAAAAAATCCGCTATTGGAAACCCTATGGAGCACAGTTCTACTATGACACACATGGGGTCACCATGAGTTGGAGTCGACTTGATGGCAACTGATAGATAATTATTAGATGAATACCTACCCCTTAACGAATGAGTTTAAGGTACCATCGGACCTCACAGGTAAGTTCTTGGCTCCCAGCACTACCAGACAGAGTTGACCATTGAGTGATGGCTGATCTCCTGTTCCTGGAAGGACAGCCAGCGTTTATTGTCAAACCCGTTTCTGCTGATACATGAGTAGGCAATACCACCACCCGAAACAGCTGAATGAGAGGAGGTGTTACAGCCTGCAGTTTCCGAGAGAGCAGGCAGGAAGAGACCCAGTGCCATCCCAGTACACACCTTGTCCCACTAAATGCCTACCACGATGGGTGGCAGCTGGAAGCATTGCTGAAATCCCAGGAAAACAGCTGCCAACGAACCCAAGGAGAGGACAGACGCAGAATTGTTAATCTCATGGTAGCCAAATGGTTTTGGGAAGGTGGGAGCCCCACGAACTCTCTTCTAGGAGGGCGGGAGGTGGCCACAGGGTGCTTGAAGCTGGCCTGCTGGTGACTCCTAGGGCTTGGGTAGCAGAATCTCCTTTTTTAGTCAAATAGGAAGTCACCAAAGTCCATAAAGGAATTGCGCCTTCTCGCCCTCATAATTTCCATACACCCCACGTAAATTAGTTGTCTGCTTTTGGAGTCCCTGGGTGGTGCAAACAGTTGACGTGCTCAGCTGCTAACCAAAAGGTTGATGGTTCATGTCCACCCAGAGGCACCTTGGAAGAAAGGCCTGGCAATCTACTTCTGAAAAATCAGCCACTGAAAACCCTATGGAGCACAGTTCTACTCTGACACACATGGGATCGCCATGAGTTGGAGTTGACTTGATGCAACT